GCCACCTTTCATCAAATAAAAAACAAAAAACAAAAACAAAACAAAAGGCCACAATAGCTCAACATTTGTGAGCAAGAACAATTTCAAACCTGCTTCTTTGCAGTAGGTAATTTCACCCAGAGTCAGAGTCAACATGTTGTTCCTCCAAGCGCTCGCCTTCTCCATCCTCCCGTAGTGCAGCAGCCAGCGCTTCCTCGGCTTGCCCGGGCGTTTCAAACGACATCTTCCTGCCCTTGTATTTCACCTTCAGGATTGCAGGGTAGACTAGGAAGGTTTCGATGGCTTTCTTCCGAAGCCTGTCTCGAATATCAGTATACCCTCGCCGTCTCTTACTTGTCGCGGTGCTGCAGTCTGTGTAAAACCACAGCGGAGTGCCGGCTGGGAGACCCGGTTTGGCTTTTCTTGCTCCTTCAAGTATAGCCTGTCGGTCAGTGTAACGAAGAAGACGGAATATCATGGTCTGGGTCTTCGAAGTGCTGTTGGAGTAGATCCGATGGGCTCTGTCAATTTCCAACTTGTGACCCGCGGAGAGACGGAATCCAGATGGGAAGCATCTTCTGAATATACCCCCGCGGGTCGTCACCCTCCGCTCCAGTTGGTAAGTTTACCAGCCGCACATTGTTTCTTCTGGCTCGATCCTCCTGCTCAGTCAAGTTCTCACGCAGTTTTGCTATCTCCTCCCAACAGCGCGCAGTATCGGTCTCGTTCTTTCTAAGATTAGCTTGAATGCTATCCACTTTGTTGAAGACCGTAGTGAACTTTTTAGCATGAGTATCCGTCTGTTCGCTCAGTGACCGCAGAATGTTGCTGTTTTCGGTCAATGTCTTCTCAATGGGGGCAAGAGACTCTTTAATAGAAGCCTTGATCAGCTTACTGGCGTTCTCGTGAAAGGTCATCATTTCGTCAGCAAGTGTTGTCTTGATTAGCACAGCTAGCTCCTCCGTTAACTCAGGGGCTGAGGGGCGCGTGGAACTTTTGCTGTTGCCCGCCTCTTGTTTTTTCCCCAAACCTTGTTCTCTTCTTGTTGACATTGTAAGATAACTCGGAGCGCACCTCCAGTCAGTTAAAAAAGTTATTGGGTTTTGTTAAATATATCAACTCAATACAGGGTTGCACGGAGCTCAGTGCGTTGCTGCCATCTTGCCTCGTGCCTCACCGGAACTCCACCAAGGGGATTTTTGATTGATTTTTGGGGATGAAACGTTGTTTGAGCAGCGAAGCGGCAAAGTGTGGCGTTTTTTGGGCCGTTTTTGCCCGTGATAAATTTGCTCTTGTTTGCACATACAAAGTCTGATTTGCACTAGGGTTTAGGTCAATTAAAAGTGAAATAAATGAACTTGGCTCATTAGCGCCCCCTAGAGATGGTGTCAACATTTTTAGTATGGGAGCGGTTCGAGGTCCAAGTTTGTCGTAGAGCCATGATATTTGGTACACATGTTCCTCAACTCAAGATATGAGATAAAAGTTATTATGGCCTCGCCCCTTGACAAACAGGAAGCCCATAAATTTCACTTCAAAATAGAAAAATGAAAAGGGATCCTTTTCACACATGTCGGTAGGAAATCTTTTCCTCCTCGGCCGTTTCACCGATTGGCCTCAAAATCGATCCACATCATCTCAACACATGTACCTTCAAAATGACCAAAGGGATTTTTGATCAGTGAAACACTGAGCAGCGGAGCGGCAAAATGTGAGTGTTTTTTGGTCGTTTTTGACAATGTTAAATTTGCTCCTGTTTGCACATACAAAGTCTGATTTGCACAAAACTTTAATACATTGTTCAACTGTAGGGTGTAGGGAAATTAAATTGAAATAAATGAACTTGGCTCATTAGCGCCCCCTACAGATGGTGTCAACTTTTTTAGTATGGGAGGGGTTTGAGCTCAAGTTTGTTGTAGAGCCATGAAATTTGGTACACATGTTCTTCAACTCAAGACATGAGATAAAAGTTATTATGGCTTCGCCCCTTGACAAACAGGAAGCCCATAAATTTCACTTCAAAATGGAAAAATGAAACAGGATCCTTTTCACACATGTCGGTTGGAAATCTTCTCTTCGGCCGTTTCACCGATTCGCCTCAAAATCGCTCAAAATCATTTCAACACATGTACCTTAAAAATTACCAAGGGGATTTTTGATCAGTGAAACGTTGTTTGAGCAGCGGAGCATCAAAATGTGGCCGTTTTTTGCCCATGATAAATTCGCTCCCGTTTGCACATACAAAGTCTGATTTGCACAAAACTTTAATACATTGTTCAGCTATAGGGTCTAGGTCATTTGAAAGTTAAAATTATGAAATTGGCTCATTAACGCCATCTACAACAGCCAATTAAAGGGAGTGTCCATGTCCTCCCCGTGTCTCTAAATTAAAGCTGTGGTACCTACCTTTCTCTTGGATTAATAATGCATAATAATGTTGGTCACTCCCAAAAGTAAAATGTTGTGAACAAATCAAACAGAACATTGTTTTGATTTTTGTTTTGTTTTGCATTTTTAAGAAAGAGCCCACTGAGTCATTATTCAATCCACTCAATCCAAGTGGACTCTGAGTCCCCAGACCCCCAATAAAGCAAAATAAATGCTCATTTCAGGCTGGCCTTTTATTGTGGACAGTATAAGGCACACCTGTGCACTAATCATGATGTCAGATCAGCATCTTGATGTGGCACAGCTGTGAGGTGGGATGGTTTATCTCAGCAAAGCAGAAGTGCTCACTATCACACATTTAGACAGATTTGTGAACAATGTTTGAGAAAAATGGTAATGTTGTGTATTTGGAATGAATTTTAGAATTTTTTAGTCCATCTCATGGAAAATGGGAGCAAAAACAAGTGTTGTGTTTATATTTTTGTTGAGTGTACATTAATAATAAGAATCCAAACATCAAAACTGTAAAAACACAGGAACTGAAGACTAAGACAAGAACCACCGAACAAACATTCAATGGACTGACAACAAGAGGGAAAGAGCACAGGGAATTAACTGGGAGACACAGGTGAAACGCAACAGGCGGTCGATTGTCTGTCGATTGCCTGCGGGGCAGGCAATCGACAGACAATTACAAAATATAACAGGAACTAAAAATGACAGCCATCACATGGTACAGCTTCCATAATGTCTCAAAGAACGAGTCCAGGAGGGAAAAAGGTTGGAAGTCAATGTCCGGCAATGGTTCAAACAGGACCACCCCAGATGGAGAAACTTGCCTGGCGGTGGCTCTAGAAAAGGGTGGGTCAGCGCTGGGCAGCAGACTCATCAGGCCCTAGTGAACCAGGGACCAGATGTAGAAGAGAAAATGCAGTATGATGAGTCCCAGTGTGGTCAGTCCATTCTGTTAAATGGTGGAGAGGAGGAAGGACCCAAAATTCAATACTGCAAAAATAGCCACCAAACAAACATTCAATGGGCTGACAAGAGGGAAGGGGCACAGGGAATTTAACTGGAAGACACAGGTGAAACACAACAGGGCGGGGCAGGCAATCAACAGAAAATTACAAAATAAAACAATAAAACAGGAACTAAAACAATGTCAGACACGCTTCAAATGGCTATTCTGTCAGCAGTTAATCACCAGTCACCAATGTTATGGTGATATTATCCGTTGGCTCAATTTTTGCCTCTGCAGGGATATCTTTGCCTCTGCAGGGATATCTTTTACAATATGGGAAGTCCTTTGAGGAAATTCACATTTAATGAAATATGGATAATATCATTTAGTTAGATGTAATTTTTTTCTTGGATTGAACCAAAGCTGGACTAAATCAAACATAAGGTAAGTTTTGTGGACAGACAAATGTTGTTGATGAATTGTCATTGTAGCAATTGTAGTAAGTTGCAAATCTTTCTTGGGTAATGATATTAATTTAGGTAAGGGGAGACAGAGTGGATTGTAATATTGGAATGTTAGTCGTTTCAACTTCTGCATTTTTTTGTTTTTGTCCCAACGCTGCAGATTGCAAAACTTCCTCTTCAGGTCACTCATTCTTTCTCTTCCTCTTCTTATTGGAAAAACTGTTAATGTTTGTTTTTTTAATAAGTGGACTGCAGTGACCCGACCAAGAGCAGCTCACGTGGACTGAAATCTGAACAAGGAAACACAAAAGCATTTATCCTGCTCTGTTCATGCTGCTCTGTTTGTGATCAGGAACAATGATGGAGAGAAACACACCTGAATGCGCTATCAACACCTGGCTCCACGTGGTCAAGAGAGAGACCAGCTAAAAAGATCAGAGAGAGACCAGCTAAAAAAATCAGAGAGAGACCAGGAAAAAAGATCAGAGAGGTTCGAGAGAAAGACGAAAGAGATCCAGTGGAATTGCAATAAAAAAAAAAAAAAAAACTGGTCCCAGTGTGGCTGTAAACGCGTCTTTGTGTTTGCGCAAAATACAGAACAACATAACGACATCATCGCCGCAGCTCTGCTCTGTGTCTGGTCTGACCTGAAATGTGATTTTTACAGCAGCATTCAGAAAACATATACAGCATCAAAAAATTCCCCACAGAGTTATTAAAATGTCTGAGGGGGCTCCCCAATGCATCTTAAATTCACATTTAGATGTTCTCATACTGACAGGAAATTACAGTTTTCACAAAGCTTTGCACAAATTACAACTTCAAAAAGTATTTTTGGGAGATTTTAGTGTCTTTTTTCTCTTTTGAAATCCATTGATTTTCTATGAATTCAAACTTTAGTGTCACAAACTGGACTTGCTCTCACTCCGCTCTGATTTGAGAGAGAAAACTCAAACATGCTGGGATCACACTAAAAGCATCCATCCATCCATCCATTTTCTACCCTTTAATCCATTTCTGGGTCAGGGGGGTGGCAGTCAGAGATGCCACCCAAGTCTCATAGCACCAGCCACACTAAAAGCAGTTTTGTGTAAATCACATGAGGAATCCATTCTGACTTTGCAGTAGGTTTTTGGGTGACATCTCCTCTCACTTCAGGAGGAACTGGCCGCTCTTTGCTGATGTGAAACCCTACTCTGTGTCCTCAGGTTCTGGGAGGAGGGGGAGCCCAATAATCACATCAACGAGGACTGTGGGAACATCGTGAAAACCCAAGTCTTAAGCAGAGTGGCCCTGCGCAGCTGGTACGACGCCCCCTGTGACATGAGCCGGTACTACGTCTGTGAGAAGACCGCCACCGGAGCACACTAAGCGAACCCATGTCCATCCATCCTTTTCATCTTGTTGCTTTCACAGCGCTTCAATGGATCACAATCAAACAACAACCAATGGCTAAAGCTGGGATACCTAACCTTGTGCTTAATCAATAACACATGTAGTTTGTCCAACAGAAAGAGCCTTGTAAAAGTCATTCTCATTAGAAAGCATGTTATCTTTTGTCTAAGAAAAATCCCTGTGAGTCATTAATTTACTTTGTCCTGAGAGATGATCGGCTGAGTAAGGGTGGTCCTCTTTTTCTAGAATACATGATGTTAAGACTAGTGCTAGAAGTGAACCAAAGAGTACAGACTGAAACTGTAAGGACTTGTAAATGGGTAAAAGGTTTAGAAATGGGTTTAGGATTGTATACATTGTCACATTTGTTTTACATGTATTGTTTCTGGGGCCCCACATACTGTATAATCTATTGCAGCTTCTTGGGAATTCCCTTTTACAAAACACCAAGCAACTTTACAATACAATGTGTAAAACTTTTCTATGAAGTTTTGAAAATAAAAGAATTATAATTAAAGTAAACTGTTTTAGCCCTTCAGGTCACAGCAGCAGAGATGGAGTAGCCTCTGGGTGGAGCAGGACGGATCACAGCAGCAAAGGTGGAGTAGCCGCTGGGTGGAGCAGGACAGGTCACAAAGTGGAGTAGCCGCTTGGTTCTGACAATTTTCTATGCTCTAGTCCAAAGTAAAATAAAAAAATTAGCGTATATTTTTGTTCAATCGTTTTTCAAATTAAAATTGAAAATCTAAAATCTAAAAATGGCTTGAATTTTCATTTTTCATTATGACGAGGAAAAGGAAAAACGAAAAATTGGCTTGATATTTGATTTTTCGTTTCGATGCAAAAAATGAAAAAACAAAATATTGAATAATGCTTTCAATCCGCATCCGTGTCAATCCGTGTACCCTTCGATCATTAGTTATTCCGTTTCAAAACAAAATCAGAAAAACAAATTCGTTTATTGGTATTTTCGTTTTCTAAATCAAATTGGAAAATCAAATCCTTTATTCCCACCTCTGCACCTTCTCCACCGACTCCCACTGATGACTGCTGTCGTTGTGTCCTTGGGCAAGACACTTAACCCCACTTTGCCCAAAGCCCCCACTGAAAGATCAAGGCTATGCTCACACTCAGAGCAGCCGTCCTCCTGTGGACTCACCACCTGCAGAGGGTCAGTGAGGGGCTGGTGCTATGAGACTTGGGTGGCATCTCTGACTGCCACCCCCCTGACCCAGAAATGGATTAAAGGGAAGAAAATGGATGGATGGAAATCCTTTATGCTTCAATATCAATGTGTTTGTTTTGGCTCTAGTTGTTTAAAATTCTCAAAAGAATCATGGCATTACTATTATTTCGTTTTATTATTATTTGCGACACCGGAAGAGAGAAGAGACCTCGCGGAAGGGGGGCTACAGACGCGGGGGTGGGACTCCCCTGGTCCTACCCGCGGTGTGAATTTGACGCGCGGGGGATAAAGGACCAGAAAGTTATGGCCCTTGGAAACCACCGGGGGACCGCGCGTCTACCATCCGCCCAAGAGCGCTCATTTTGGGGGAGGAAAACCTCGGCTTCCAGGGCTTGTCAAAAACGAACCAGGGGTGCTAGAGACACGGGGTTTTCACCCACGCACTCCTCCGGTTCTGGGCTATCACCGGGGAGGGCTTTGCTCCCGCTCAGACCCAGGCCTGAGCGCTCATAGGGCACTGTCCGGTTTCCGAAATGTGCTAAAAATAGCTCAGATGACTGCGCATGCGCGCATGTTTCGGACAAACAAACGTACGACTCGTTGAGTTCTACTGTGTTCTCCTCATACGCGTGTGTATTTATTTGGGCTAAATCATTGAATCATGGTGACAACAAAACACTGCAGTTATGGTGCTTGTCGGAGCGATTTCAGATACTCTGAAAAGGACTATATGAAAGTAACATTCAACCCGTTCGTTAAACCACAACATCGGACCAGACCAGGACCAGACCAGGACCAGATCAGACCAGGTGGGTGCTTGTGGTCGGCAGAATTTCTCTCATGAAAAGGTTAAAAAGGGCACATGTTTTTTCAAAACACTTCGCTGGACCAACTGTGGAGCCTCCAGATCCAGTCCTAGCTACGTTTAGCTGGGACTGGATCTGGACCGCTGTATCAGGTCCGTCTGAGCTCTTCTGAATGTAGTTAGCACAAACTTTCTCTTTACACCATTTACCCCCATCAATCCATATTAGTATTGTTTGTCCTAATCCAGAAAGTATACAATTCTCACACCTGAAGAAAGATGAGAGGGATTTTTTTCAACTTTGTGTCTGCTTATTATACGGCTTTGTACCAATTGAACACACAAAATAAACGTCATTCACTACTCATGCCGAAAGGTTTATTTAATGAGTGCAAAGAAAATAGTTCCCAAAGGTTTTCCCGTGGCAGGCGAGTAACAGTGAGGATAGTTAACCTAAAAGCGATCGCTTTAGTCGCATTAAAAAAGTATTTTTGTCATGAAAACCTGAACAGTAAATTCTGAAAACCTCCGTGCACTTGTGTTATGAATGTGTATAATGTATTCTCCCATTAACATTTAAATGTGTTGATTGATTGTCATTTGCGTTTACTGAGTGTGGCTAGCTCTGATAGTTTCTCTCAGAGACAGTGGCGTAACCCGTTGTGATCATGGATTTATTAATATATCAGCTGACTGTAGCTAACTAATGATCAAACTAATTACAAAGTGGATAGTGCAAAAACAACTTGATAAATGGAAGTTAATCACAGCAAAACAAACAAAGAAGGCGCTAGCATTGCAATTTAAATGACTAGATAATGTTAGCATAATCCTCACCATTACCTTTTTATCAAATCAAACTTTCTACCAGTTACTGGAAGACCACGACATTCAAGCCAACGTTATAATTGGTCTACACTATGATCCCTGATGGTTTGATGGTGGAATTTTGCCCCTGGTATATCATTTTCGTCTAAAGTGACAAGTGGTATTTGATTCATTTCGGCAGTGTTTGTCCGAAACATGTGGGCGGGAGTTGACAGGCGGCGGGGGCGTGTCTTAGTGACGTCATTTAGATAGTTCGCTATTCTGGGGGAGGAGAGGACCGCAGCAGCAGGGTCAGGAGGCACGCTGCTCCATACCCCCGTGCTTACGGCCATACCACCTTGAGAATGCCCGATCTCGTCTGATCTCGGAAGCTAGGCGAGGTCGGGCCGCGGGGGCCAGCCGCGTATAGTGGGCATATCGTTGATTGGCACTGAACTCTATTTTCTATACAGATTGTTTTGTCAAATACTACTGTTTGCCCTGAAATATGATCAATAAAAAGAAAGATTTCAATAATGTATGACATTATAATATATTTATTGTGAACAGATGAAAAAAGAGATATTTACAAATTTAAGAAATACACTTAGAAGAAAAACATCAACATGCTATCTTTATCTTCTTAAACTAGTATTTGTGTGATGAGCCCTGTGACTGTGACGGCTGAGAGCTGACTATACAGAACTGTAGATGCAGACTTTACAAATGAAATTATATAATTAGATATAATCAATATTAAGTATATATTTACATAATAATTAGAATATTTATAAACATTTATGAACAGACAGGTATAATATAGTAACTATATACAATAGCACCAATAGACAGCAGATAGCTCATTTATTTACACGCCACCTTTCCCTCTCCTGGTCATAAAAAGGAGACTGCTGGAACATCTGCGTCTCCATCCCCTGGTCCTTGTACAGGGAGAATACTTTGGCAGGGCAGTAGATGTATTTTCCTGACAGACCAGGGAATTGTGTATGAATGTGAGGACTGTTTGGTCCCTGCTTTAGCTGCAGTTTGCAGAACCCGCACTTTCTCCCAGTGGCAGGAGACTCATCTCTCTTCCTTTTCTTCTCCTGCCACTCATTCACTCTCTGCTGCGTGGCCTCCAGCTCTCTCTGGTAGAACTCAGTGTCCATAAAGTCTCGGAATGGCATCCTGGAGTTGGTCAAACCCTCTGTGCGATAGGTGTTATAGACCTTGGTGGAGCAATAGAAATACCTGGTAGGACCCGGCTGGTAAAACTTGTGGATGGAGCTGCCATCGCCCTCATATTTGGATTTTGGCTGGCCACAAGACAGGCATTTCTTTGTGTGGGGTTTATTTGCTGGAGGCTGCTGCTGCTTTTCCAAGATCCGCTGCACAACCTTCTCTATGGCCTCCTCAGACAGCGGTGACATGAGATTCTGAGCAGGAGGAGCGGGGTTCACTGCTGCAGGGGGCATGGTGACAGCAGGCACTGTGCTGGTCTTACTGCCTGCTGTGAGCGATGTACTCCCCCAGCACTTCAGCCTTGTCTGAGGCATCACCTCCTCTCACTCGCACCAGAGTGAAGGCGTTCTCCCTCACCACCTCCTCCCTCAGAGGAGCACCGCACTCCCTCATGGACGGGTCGTCCCTGATCTTCCTCGCCTCCTCCGAAGGGTCCTGCAGCAGGAATCCACGTGGCCCCTTGCGAAAAATCAGTGACGCGGCCAGGAAAGAATGAAAATGTCTTCATATTGTCTGCAACAACAAAAAAAGATCATAAAATATCTAGCTATAGCATGATAGAGAAGTATAATGTATATATCTTTAGCATAATAAAGAATAAAATAATTAAATTTAGCATTATAAAGAAGCATGAATCCTGTATAATCTAGAGAAGACATATACAGTTGTATGTTTACAGATTCAGATCAGATTCATTTATTTGCCATTTGCAGTAAAACCACATTGGAAAAACTGTGCAAGACTACCCCGGTGTGCGCCAGACAGAGACGACACACACCAGAGCTCTTGCCACGGCGCCATTTTTCCGGCGCCATGCGACAAACAGTAGAATAAACAGCAGAGAGCAATAACATACAGGTTACAACAGACAGTTGGATAGAAAACATTGTGCTTTTTATAAACCACGGATTTTTTTCTCGGGATGAGCACCTCTGG